CATGCCCATCAGTGCCACGGATTGGCTGGGCCTCTCCCAGATGGTGGAGGTGCTCAAGCTCTTACTGGAAACCATGGACATATTGTGTGGTTATACGGCAAGCCTGGGGCAAGTCATCCTCCTGATTCATGCACTCGATCGGTCCCTAGAGACTGCTGTGGCACCGGGATCCTCCCTCCTTTCACAGACCAAGGCTTTGGTGAAGAGGTTGCAGTCAGGTGTGCAGAAGTTACTCCATGCTGTCTACCGCAACAGAGCTTACCACATGGCCTTCCTATGTGATCCTCAAATCAAGGGGGGCTTGGCAGTACGCACCCCAGACCTCGAGGAGTGGAAAACAGAGCTCTCCACTGAGGTCTGCAGAGCATTGGGGGCACAACACTTGCATGGGGCAATAGGAATGTCAGGCCACAAGGGGCAGGGTGGTTTGCCTGAACCACAGGGAAAGACTTCACCTGGTGAAGGCTCCATTCACCACCAACATTACTGGAGCTCTGTGGTGACCTTGGCACTTGCCTCAGAGGAAAGACAGACAGCTGAGGAGGATTCGACAGAGATTATGGTGCAGGAATATCTGGCTGAGTCCCCTCAGCCCCACCAGTCAGATTCCCCTCCATTACTGCGATAGGAAACTAGTCATATGGCCGGAGTTGTCCAATGTGGCCATGGACCTCCTTTCCATCCCCCCCACCAGCATCCAAAGCGAGCACGTGTTCTCCCATCTCAAAGACATACTCCAACCATGCTGCTCGTGTTTGGATCCTGTTACTGTGGAGAGACTGTGGTTCATCAAGGTGAACCTTGTTGGGCTTCCCCTCACTGAACCCAAAGAGGTAGGGTTTTTGGCCCAATGCGGCCAAAAAAGCCTGCTTTCCTTTGGCCCAATGTGGCCAAAAAAGCCTGCTTTCCTGCTGCCTTTTCCCACAGTGCCCGATGGAGCCAAAAGAGCTTGTTTTCATGCTGCCGACTTCCTCAGTGCCCGATGGAGCCAAAAAGCCTGCTGTGCTGCCAAATACTTCCTTGTCTCCAGTCTTCCTGAGGGCAAACTCTACTTCACTGACAAATGTAATGTTGTGCTGAGCTAAGGCAAACTCAAGCATGCCTCTGCCAAAGGGACCTCTCATTCTGCTGGGGCTAAATATAACTCCTTCAATGCCATGGGCTTCTGTGTGGTAAACTCTCCTGGGGGGGACACAATTTGTGGGTGAATAACTTGGAGGTCTGATATCCAATCTTCACCAAAGTTGGCAGGCATGTTGGGGAAATACATAGGAAGCTCTGTTGTGATTCTGGATATTCTAAGTATCTGGGAGGAGCTTTCCTGGGGGAGATCCTCTTTGTGACTATATAACTTGGGGGTCCATGATCCACCAAACATTCAGGAATTGTAGAAATGCATCTGAGGAAGCTTCCCTGCCAATTTGGTGTCTCTAGGTCATTGGGGGGGGGCAGTGTTATAGCGATTTAAAGTGCAGATGAATCAACAGATCAATTTGTTGATTCATCGAAGATTATTCATATATTCATATTTGTTGATTCGTTAACCTTGACGAATAACAGATCAAAATGAATCACCATTTTTTAAATTCATCCCCATCTCTACTCTTGACCTGTGCCCTAGTTACATGTTCAAGAAAGAGAAAAGGAGTAAAGATCAAATTTATAACACCTTGAAAAAGAAAATGCCATCAAACAGTGGACTAGCCTTTAAACGGAGTATATTAATAAAGTCAACACATGGTTACCATATGTTAAATAATGTACAAGATCTCTGTCAATGTCCTGTATGAAGAATGTATGTTCCAAGGTCTTAAACACAATCCAAAGAAAAGCAATAGAATATTAAAATCATTTGATTCAAGAACTATTTTCTTTTTCCAGATTGCACATTTATTTATCTTTTATTACTATGCCCTCCAAATTTAGAGGAAATTAATGTCTCTTATTACTGTTGATTTTTTGAAGGCAAAATTAACAAGAAGACAAAATGTGGATTGCATGAGTGCATTAGAATTAGCAACAGCGTATTTCCCCCACAAAGATCATGTTCATTCTTATTGGGGAAAATCTTTTTATACTTATGTATTACTATGTTTTGATAAAGTCATGCTTCTCTATTCGTTACAACTGCCTCAGATGAAATCATTGATTGTGCTCAGGGGACAAAGATACATTGTTGGCTACTTTAAACTTTTAATTTTTTTATGCAGTTCAAAAAAGAACAGTCTGTCTCCCTTATTTGCATGTTTTGAGAGACATAAAAGGTGCCCATTTTTTAAAAAAAGTCTAAATGTAAGAATGAAACAGCTCAGCTTTCTGTGATGACTACTTCAGGCACTCTGCTGATTATGAGTACATCTAGTTTAACCTGAAATGTCAACAGCTAAAAATATAAAATAAAAATATAAAGCAGCAAATTACTAATAAATTATAATTTGGTGGCTTTTTGACCAATATATGTGACCCTAACACAGCTGCTTGAACCTTATTACTCATCACTCTTTAAGAAGTAGTTGTGAAACATTTTTCATTGCGTATTTATAAGTTTAAATTTAGCCTGTTTATTTCTCCCACCCAATTTTGTCATAGTGGTAAATGATATATACTCTTTCTGGCTGATGACATTCTTTCCTTACTCTCTTTGAAAGAGTGGGAGGTAGAGTGAAGAGGGGAAAATAAAATATAAAGCAGAATAATAAACATCTCATCTTGCCCGTATTGCTATGAGCCATAGGCCATTTCTATAAGCAATTACTCTGAGGTTACATTATATACATAGACCAAATTTTAGAATGTTCATAGCAGTCATTTGATAGCATGGTATTTATATCACCGTATTTTCTTCTCCCAGAGAGGAAAAAAATTATCTCCCTAAAACAAAAATTACCTGAGATATACTTTTATGGTTATTTTTATAATTATTTGCTAATTTGTTCTCACTGTCTTTAGTATTTCGTTTTTATCTTTGTTTGATGTTTTGTATATCATAAACCACACAGAGTAGTGCCTTGGCACTAATGGAAGCTATATACAAGCTAAATAAATGAATACTTAGAAGATGCAGGAATTAGCAAACCATAGCATGACAATTATAGACAACAACATGTTTACCTAAAGACAAACAAGCAACCCTTGGGAATCTTCCATTTCTTCCCATGTAGGAGAATGGATTGATGGTCTAAATAAAGCATGGCAAATTGTTTTTATGTCTGTGTGTGGAATGGTTATTTAGATCACAAGCAAAGAGCTGTTTGTCCTCCAGATTTGGATGAGTTAATCATTTCACCATTCCTCATCATTGTCTGGGCTGGCTTGGACTAATGAGTACTGGAGTACAACAACACCTGGAATACCACAGGTTACCCCAGCCCTCATGCAGATTGTTTGTAATTATACAGGAGTTGTTGTTTTTTAAATCTGCCCCCAATATAAGTTAATTGAAAGTTCTTGAGTTCAGGCTGGTAGTTCTGTGTTGTGTTCAGGCCAGAAGCAGGAACCCAAAGGAGATAAGACAAGCTGGACATTGGAGATCTCTATGACAACAGTTTTGTTCCAACAAAGTATGAAGTTCAGCAGGGCCCTTTTGTTTCTCTGGTGCCAGATTATGACTCCTAAACTCCTCCATTTTCCAGGAAAGAACAGGTGTTTTGTTTGAAATCTTTAAGAGTTTTTGCCATTTTGGTTCCTGGTGTCAGTATACCAGTTTGAAAGACTGCGGAGCTCTTGAAGAAGGATGCATTGAGGAGCTAAGTTCAGGAACCACCAATATTGGTCAGGGTTCAGGGGTTTTGGGGTCAAGGGACTTTGGTCTTTCAGGCTTACTGGCCTCTGCTCTTCTGTATCTCTTAGGTCTTGTGTCTCCTGTGATTCACCATTCCTTCTCAAATCTGTGAGTTCACGTTGAAGAACTGCCAAAGTCCAGGGTTATCACAAGGCATGGAAGATGTTTAGTTGTGATTTTTTAAAATAACTTTTAAAAATTTCTGTAGAAAGGAAGGTGCTTAGTTCTGAGCTAGTGTGATTTGGAGTTTTGCGGCAATGAAGTGATATCAGACAGATCCATTTAACAGAGAGTATGGTTGAGTCACAAGCAGAGTTAGCTACACCCAAATCAGCTGATTTCTGTGGGCGTTGGTAGGCATCAATTAATGAAATTCACAAGTGCTCCTGATCACGCCTCCCAATTTTAGCTAAATTCTTCTCCCCATAGCATGCTAAAAATATTACTAAGGAGACTGGCCCCTCTTCTCTGTCCTGGTAATTCAAGCACCAGTACCTAACTCTGCATGTGACTGGTAAGCTGCATGTTTTTGAACACCCACACAGACATCCAGCCTGATCAAGAGTCATAAGAAACATGATTGAGCTACAGGCTCCTATGGAGCTCGGCTGGTACTGATGGCAGGGAGGAAGATGTGTGTTGGTATCTAATTGCAATTTGTATGTGAACGGAGGTGGGTACAGAAAGATGTAGGTCTTGTCTACACTATGCTACCATCCTGTTTTGAAAATCTGATATTCATAATGCACTTCATACCTGCTTAACTGTTTGCTTTGGGGGTCAAATGGTATTGTTTTGTCATGTTTAAGTGGGATCTTCTTGCTTACTTCATACTGAACAAGGCAAAATAAAAGAATTCATGTATTTGGTGGCAGGTCTGTACAGGAATTTTGTCAAGGGATAGTGTTGGTAGTGCCCACAGACAATTTTATAGTTGATTTTGAGTCTTGCAGCTTAGGGCTTTTTGAGCATTTTCGGGAAGATGCCTGTATAGTTTAGGGGGCAACACTGATAGCCAGGTGTGCAATGGTCTACAATTGTTTCTTAACCCAGTCAAGAATGTCTTGCCTGGGAGATTTGCCACTTGACCTCGTGGGTAGAATCCCACACTGCTGAATAAATGTGGTCCTAGTGAAATTCATTTCATGTATCTGCCCACTTGTTAACTCCTCCATCTTCAGTGTCTTAGTCAAGGTTTGTTTTTTGTTTTTCATTTCAGATTTCTGGCCATTTGTTCACATGTGTCCAAGAGGAGATGAAGGCTATTGGATCTTGCATAGTTTGGCTTTGGTTTACAATATTCCTGTTCCCCATTTCTCATTCTATGACAGTCACAGACAAAACAGGTATTTCTTTATATTCACTCTGCCACTTCAATCTGACGCAAAAGTTATTCAGGTTCCTATTGATCAAATAAGACAATTGTATGAGAAGTGCAAAGGCACAGAAGTCTAACCTCAGGGTTTGGTAGGCAAAGCTGCCTGTGGAATCAATCCAGAACACACACAGTAAGTGCATATAATATGAAGTGTAGGGAGAGCCTAACGGAATAATTGAAACCATGTTAAAGTTTCTAGTCTGGGAAGTATTTAATTAAAGTTCTCTGTTAAAAGATATTTCCACACTGAGTACCCAACAGCCATCTTTCCACTTCCTGTGCACTCATAGGAGTCTACATTTGGAATGAACTCACAGACATTTGCTGCTATGTTGTGTAACTACTGATACTTCCTCATTTTCTTAAGTTACATATCCGAAAAGAACTCAAACCCTCTGCATTGGATCTCCACACTCTGCATCCTTGTTTTAGGAATGCCTACTTTGATTTTGGATGAATTTTCTACTAAGTATAATCTAGTAGCAAAAAGTCACTTGTTTGGATATATGTTCAATTGAAATGAATGGGGCTGATCTTCCAGTAAGCAAGTTGCTTAGTATCACTAGTAGCTTTTCTCTGTATTAGAATGTTAATGTTTGTGGACTACAGGAAAAAATGTGATCTGTGCACAGGCACAAGTAAATTAAATTATATACTTGTATTTGTGTTGTTATCCCGCTACTGTCTAAGAACCGTTTATTGGCTTTGGGGAGGGGTTGCCATCTCAGAAATGCATTATGTTACATTTTTATTATAGCAGAAATGTTTAAGTTGGTGGCACCCCACCTGATATTGACTTGCCACTTTCCTGGGATAGCTCATAGATTGCACTCCTTGGGGTACATCTAAGGTGTCATTCCTTCAGAGAAACAGGATGCCTTCTAGATCACGTTCTTTCCCTCAGTCCTCCATGTGTGCTCCAGATCTGCTCTAAAGGGCCCCCCACAGAGCAGATATGAAGACAGACGTACAGAAGGAAAAGATCCTGTTGTGTATCCAGATAATGTGGGGTTCTGTCCATATCTAAATTTTGAGCCTGCTGTTCATGAAACTAGAAGGAGGTTCTGGAATGATTTCTATAACAGGCTGTCTAATGTTGATTGGTTTAGCTGGAAGCTATAGGAAGCTGTAAAAAAAGGCCATTTTTAATCTACATGTGGATAAAATGAGAATGATTTCTATAACAGGCTGCCTAATGTTGATTGGACTAGCATAGGAAGCTGTAAAAAAGTCCATTTTTAATCTACATGTGGATAAAATGATAATTTTTGAGGGAAAGGATGACATGGATTGATTTGTAGGTACTTTTACTTCTACTCATGGGTAAATTGATTTCACAAATGGGCCAACACATCATATTAAAATTTATTTTTAATCTAAAGGAAAATCAGTTTTAAACAGGACCTTTAAGCAATATTGCAATACCAATAATAAATATTAGGCGGTAACAAATGTGCTGAATAACTGTGAATAAGCCAACCTTGCATTTCAGATTCTTTCCTAAACTCTTACAGCAGCAAAAGCTCTGGAAGTCTTGCTGATCTCAGCTCCTGAGAGAAAGGGAAAGTAAACTACCAAATGAACCTGCCATATCCTTCCCCTGCCCTCTAAGGTGTGAAGTTACAAAGGTCTGAAGGAAATATAGTGTTAATTGGATTGCTGAATAGAGAGTGTTGAAAATAGAGCCACAAAATTCAAGGTGATGGACACTCTTCATACATATTATACATATACCTGCGCATACAATGAGAACAAAACAGCACCTTGCTCAAGGTTTCTCTGGAGGGATGCAGTCAATCACTGGAATATGTAGACACTTATAAGCAAAGTGCTTAAAATTTTTGATTGTTAGTCACTCTTATATGTGTATATACATACACATACATATATGTTTGTGTGTGCCTCCATGTAGAATTATATGTGTCAGAAATGAAGAATGTCAATATTCACTAGAGATTTTCAAAAGTTTTTCAATATTCACTGGGAAATATTACATAATGAACAGTCACTCTTCGGTTTCTGCCATTGATTGGTAACATATGCCTTAACACATTTATAATTTGGAAAGGACAAATAGCAAAGGATACAGCCTTGAAAAGTATGTAATATATTTTTACTTCCAAATAAACAAGGAGAGCAAAGTTGCTTATAGCAAAAGAAAAAAATGTTTTGGACTTATAAACCATAGATAAATTTTTGGCTGTACCACCATTCTTGGGGTAGCAATTGATTCTAAATTTCCTTTTGATTCTGCTTACTACTTCACATCAAAACTATCTCTATAATCCTTCCCAAAGGCCAGGCTTCAGGGAATGAGAGGGGTTATATCCTGAGATACAATATTAGGTTGAAGAAGTCTGGTTCAGAAGATACTGTATTGCAGATCTTGGTTCACAATGGGAGGGAAGATGATGTTGTGGGTTCAGGCCCTCACAAATTGCTTCCTACAATGTAATTGCATTAAAACGACTGTAGGAACACCTGGAACTTCCATGACAGCTCTCAATTAACCTTGATTGTTCAAGTGGCTTATATTGACATTTGGAGGCAATTATGCAGGCAAAAGTAAGGGAGAGATTATCTATGCAACCTATTATGAAGAAAGAAGAAACGTTTGCTTTCTGCTTACTATCTTGAATGAGCCCAGGGAATGACTTCGTTTCATTAGCTAATATTGTATTAATTAAGAAAGTTGCTTGCCTTAAAAAAAAAGATGGTGTAGAGCAGTAGATTGCGCTGGTTATGCTTGCAGCAGCTTGCCTAGGCATAAGCCAAAAGCTCTCTGATTCGTAGTAATGCTCCCTTAGTTTTTACTGGTATAGAACTGTCTGTATGAGAGCTGTTTGCTGGAGGGAAGTGTTTACATCTAAAAATAAAATACAACAAATCTAAAAGAGAGGATTGGATTACAATACTGAAGCTCAAGGAGTTGTCAACAATCTTGTGTTAAAGTCTAAATAGACTAAAGATAACTTGTAATAGTTTTATTCCTTGACTTTTTAGAGATTAAGCTTGTTTAGGAAAATAATGATCTTAATGTACTGATGGAATCTCTCTTTTTTTTAAAGAGGGGAGGTAAAGAGTGTAAGTGATCATTTATCCCACTGTAGTTGAACATAAATAGTGCTTTGATCACAATTATTGCTGTGGGTCTAGCATACCTACTATCAGCATCATTCTACAATCCCGTCTATTTACTTTTAGTGTTCACTAAGTCTGCAGTCTTATACACACTTACTTGAGACATATGCTCTATTTGTTTCTGGTTAAAAGGTGGTTCCATCATCCATTGAACTGGATTATTTCAACAGATTCACACATTACATTACTGTTTTGACTCTAGCTAGTTAACTACATCAACCAATTTTATTCAAACTGTACAAGTACACAGGTTATAGACAGTGAAAATATGACATTGGTTTCTGTCTATAATATGTTACAGTAAATTTTAGGGCAACATTTAGAGCTATGGGGCAGAAGACTCTTGGATTCATTCAGTGTAAGTAGCAGGGATGGGGAGCAGGCACTCATGCAAGCAAACTTACCTGTACTGCTATCCATCCATCACGCTCCTCTGCTTCCTTAAGTTAGGGAAAATGTTCTGTGCATAGCTGCAGTCAGTCATTGACTCACTGAATCCACACTAATTTAATGGGTCTCCTCTAGTTTTGACTTAAAACGATAAGCAACAGGATTTGTAACCACTGGGTAGCAAGTCAAGAGAGATAAAATGCTGCCTGGTTGCCCTTTTTGTAAATAGTTTTACAAACTGAAGTTTGCAAGACTATTTAGTAATCCAGTGGTGTTCAGTAGATTGGCTGGGACCCACAAATGGGTTAGATCAGGACTTAAGCAGGGTCTCACCGCTAACACCTCCACTCTTGTTTTAAAGAGAAGCAGAAGGACAGAATTACTGTACAGAGAAAGAAGGGGGAAAAGGAGGAAGATTTTGCACAAATGTAGCTTCTTAGCCTTCCATAACAAGGGATGTCTGTCAGAATCGTCTACGGCATCTTACTTTAAAAAGTACAAGACTCCTTTGTGGGGATAATGGTTGGTCTGTTGAGGTTGAGAATGATCACAGGTCTGAAAATACTGATTATTGCTTACATTAAAGCATATGGAAAGAAACTTCTGCTTCAGATAACTTGAAATGGTGCATCAATACTACACGTCTCTTTAAATTATATGGTGCTCTACTGTAGTCATTTTTAATGTGATATGTACATTTGCTCACATTCCTGGAAGAGCACAGTGAATAATTTCTCCATTTAGTCCAGTGAGATAATTTATGAATGTGTGGTCATTTACTCTAAAGCTGACTGGATATCCGTTAAATTCTGCACATTGTATGTCATTTTAAAGTTTACATTCCTGTGACTTTTAATTACAGCTTACACTTTATTTATGGTTTAGTGTCAGACAATATGCACAACCCGCACAGGCTAAACTCCAGCTTGTGAGGTTGTAATTTGTAAATATTTTGCTTGCAAGATTTCACAAAATTTAGAGATTGCCAAAATTAAATGTCCAGTTTCCCCTTCTGCTCTTGTGTGCCACAGTACTAGTTCACTGGTGATGTCATTTAAAAGTGGGAGGCTTAGTAGAAAAGACTTCATGATAACACTCTTTCCATCAGAGATAGCTGCACTTTCTTTCTCTTCAGATTTAAAAAGGCAAGGCGAAAAATCATTATAATTGTACTTCGTACATGTGTTTCTCTCTTGACATTTTCAGTCCAGGATAGGGACAATCCAGGACACAGAACAGGCATACAGCTGGGTTCTCTATAGCAAAGAGACACATAGTAGGTTTGCTCTAGCAAGTTGAACACGTAGGGGATCCCACAGTTTAGAATGATATTTTCCTCAAGGTTTTTTTACTTCTGAGATTCAGAATCATAATTAAAACACATAGAAAAGGAATGCGTGCTTGTTTTTCAGAATACCATATATTCTGCCATATTCT